TGTAGCAAATGACCTTTAAAATAAGCCTAAGATCATTAGAAAGCGTTCATTATTTTAGAAGTTATTCAAATTTTTGTAAAACATTGAAAATTACGATTTTTTAAAAATATCTAAATGAATTATTGGCCAAACGACTTCTGTTCAAAATTTTATCATCTTTAAAAAAGTGAACAGAAAAAAATTGTAGTTTCAATAAATTTTATGTTTTAAAACGATTTTCATTCGCCTGAAAATGGGTAGTCTCTCAATTTTGACCGGTAGTGTATGCTATCTATATTATGTAAATTTGCAAAAGACAGTTTGACTTGTTTGCCTTTATAGATGCAGACTAAATATTCATGAAAATATGTGTGATACACTAAAAAAATAAAGAGTGTTCCGCTACTACCGACACTTCACTACTTAATATTTATTTGTCACAACTCTCTTGCTAAATTCGTAATGGTACAGCCCACTATAACTCTTCTCTCCGTGTATGTAATAATAATATTTAACATTAAGATATCTATTGGTAAATTAATATTAATATTTATTTATTTAGTATATTATTTATATTGGTTGTAAAATTCATATACAAATAAAGTAAAATTTAGAAAAAAAACTTTCATAACAATTTTGAAAATTATTATACAAAATAAAATGCTTTGAATTTGAAAAAGCTGAAAGTGAACAATAAATATTTCTGAATCTGAATCATATTTAGTAATTTTGTAATTAAATTTTTCTTATTATATTTATTTAAATAATATATTATTGATAACAAATGTCATTTGAAATAATAATATTAATAAATAATTTTAATTTTATTATAATTTTGTTACTGAAGTTATGAGTTGAATTAGTAATAAAAATGCTTTTAAATGTATTTTTTAAATTATAAACTGAAAGGAATACTTTAAAACCAATTGTATGTATATAATGATTATGAAAAGTGTGCAAAAAGCTCGAAGCTCGATCAAGATTCTTCAAGCTTTTCATTTTTCGAGCCGAGCCTAATCAGTTAGCCGAGCTGTGTAAAAAGCTAGAATAATTTCGAGTACTTGAATTTTTTCGGGCTCTTGAGTAAATTCGAGTTCTAGAGAAGATTTATATAATCTTCGCATATATTACAATTAGCAAATTGAAATACACTTTGAAATTGAAGATTTGTTTACTTTATTGATTCAGTAATTCGCATAAATTTGAAATTTTCTACTTATTAATAGTTTTGTTTAGTCATTTAAAAGCACGAATCCATTCGAGTACTCGATACATCGAGCCGGTTCGAGCTCGGCTCGGCAATTCGAGCTTTTTGCACACCTCTAATGATTATATTATGTATATTATGTATATTATGCATACGAGCGGATATTTTCCATTTCTAAGCGTTATATAAAATAATAAAATTGGGTCAGAATTTCTCAAACGGATCACCTAAAACTAAAAAATTTTCTGTTTGAACCAAAATAGTTTTTTTTTACTCTTAATATGCTTAAGAAAAATCCCTGAAAGTATTAAGCCAAAAAATTTTTTTTTAACGTCCTAACAAAAAAATTCAAATTGTATTCTATTCCTTAAAATTCTCCGAGTGTAAAATCGTTTCGTAAAAAATAAGCCTCAATTAGGAAAAAAGTTATTAATTAAAAACTGCAGCTGTGTAGAGCTTTATATGACGTTAAACTCGCCCCGCGCACATTGGCATTTTTTACAATTTACTGTTTAAAATTGTCTGGAACCTACAAATTTTATCGGATTTTCATAAGCTTGGTCTTAAATTAAAGGGGATAAAATTTCTAAGAGATCCCTCTAAACCAATTTTTGAATTTTAAAATGTTTATATTTGTTTTGTTATTCAAAGTTAACAATGTACAATTTATGTTTATTTAAGTAATCTATGTCGATTTTGGTAAAAAGTTATTTTGAATTTAATAATTACCATTGTTAACCACCAGACAAATAATAATCTATAATACAATTTATTTAAACTGTTGCAAACAATGTTAATTAACAAATAGATAACTATGGTTCTTTTTTATAAAAAAAAAATTTTTTTGCAGACAAATTTATGTTTTTTTAAGTAATCTATGTTGATTTTAGTAAAAAATGATTTAAAATTTAAAAATTATTATTGTTATTGACAATTATTATGAACAATAATCAACTTTCTTTGACATTTGTGAACATTTTAGGCATTTTTTAAACATAAAATGTTTATATAATATTTACATTCTTTCAAATACTTTAAAAATTTATTAGCACAAACAATTACATTTGTTATAAACAAATTATTTAATTTTTAAATAAATAAATGGCTTATTTATGCAAAAAGAAAAATTATTTTTCGTATTTTAACGAGATTAAAGTCATGTAAAGCTCTACTTCATTATTGATAACTATATTATTGTTCATATAATTGTTAATAACAATGGTAATTATTAAATTAAAAATAATTTTTTACCAAAATCGACATAGATTACTTAATTAAACATAAATTTGTCTGCAAAAGAAAAAAAAATTTTATAAAAAAAATTTCTATTTGTTAATTTACATTATTTGCAACAATTTAAATAAATTGTATTATACATTATTATTTATCTGGTAGTCATGCTGGACTAATTTAAATTGATTCCAATCATCTCCAATGAAAAAATAAAAAAATAAACATGATTTTTTCTAAAAATATTGTAAATTGTTAACTTTGAATAACAAAAAAATATAAACAATTTAGAATTCAAAAATTGGTTTAGAGGGAACTTTTAGAAATTTTATCCCCTTTAATTTAAGGCCAAGTCCATGAAAATCCGATAAAATTTGTAGGTTTCAGACAATTTTAAACAGTAAGTTGTAAAAAATGCCAATGTGCGCGGGGCGAGTTTAACGTCATATAAAGCTCTACACAGCTGCAGTTTTTAAATAATAACTTTTTTCCTAATTGAGGCTAATTTTTTTTCGAAACGGTTTTACACTCGGAGACATTTAAGGAATAGAATACAATTTTAATTTTTTTGTTAGGACGTGAAGAACATATTTGTTTATTAACATTTTATAAACAAATTATATAAAAAATTTAAAAACAAAAAAAATATTCACATAGTGCAATTCAAGACGAAAAAAATCCATATTTTAATTTTAAAATCCGTCAACTCGAACTCAAGAAAAAAATTTGTTAATTTAGCAGTACTAAAAAATTCAATTGTTAATAACTTTTACAAAAAAAATTTTTTTGGCTTAATATTTTCAGGGATTCTTCTTAACCATATTAAGAGTAAAAAGAAACTATTTTGGTTCAAAAAGAAAATTTTTTAGTTTTAGGTGATCCGTTTGAGAAATTCTGACCCAATTACTATTTAATTTGGCTTTTGCAACATTGATTGAAGATTAAACGCCAATCTTCAACAAAGACTGAGCGTCAGGTTGAAATCGTCGATACATTTATAGACTGAAGCAGCCTTGCTTCGGCCGTCTCACCCAGCCTCAATCAAGCTTCGTAAAGCCTAAAATCACGGTCAATCCTCACCTGGGAATAAATTAAAATTGTTATTACAGTAGAGTAGTACCGACAGAAGTGGGCCACACTTTGGTTTTCATGCTTTAGAATATTTAGAAATTAACATTTTTGAACACTTTTTGCGTTTATTTGTACTGAAAAGAGTTACCTAACTTTAGGCAAACACACATTATAAATTTTTTAATTTTAACATATTGTTTAACATTGTTATGCAAAAAAAGAGAACTTTGCGATATCATGATTTTGTAGACAGAAGTGGGCCACCTAAGTTTTTCATCTAAAATAATAAAAAGAATCAAGCACTATAATTGTTTATGTTAAATGATTAATTTTTTCAATAAATAGTATTGTAAAACTAAGCACAAGAAGTATGTTCCGAAATTATATTAATTTTTATTTGATTTATAACATAAAGTAATTTGTCGTAGTCAATGAGTTCAAAGCCAGTCGGTTTAGCCTTTCTTGGTGGCATGATTGCTAAAAAATTCAAATTAATTCATAGAACCACTTCATTAGTTTATACAAAATCACTAAATGTCAAATCGGAACGTAAATGCAGTGGCCCACTCCTGTTTTCAGAAAATGGCCCACTTCTGTCCACAAGCATAATTTGACGAGAAATAACGTGGCCATAACACCTCGCGACAATATGAAACAGTCTCTTTAAATTTTTTAATGTTAGGTCTGATACTATAATAAAGGCTACTTGCCCGATTGAATTCTATGAATACCTTATGTAAACAACAATAACTTTTACAATGAGAAAAAAAAAGTAGATAATTTAGGCACTAATTGCTGGAGAACATAATTGTACGTCGCACTCTTTAATGACCAACTGAAAATCGACCTTCTGTTGATAACAAAAGAAAAAAAAATTCGGTTAACAGATATGTAACTTGTAAAACCAAAAACGGCGGGTGGTCCACTTCTGTCAATGCTACTCTATTATATATGAATTTAATAATTAAATTTATGATTTTATTATTATAATTGTAAAATATCATCTGTATCTTTTCTATTTAACACATTCACAATTCACAAAACCAATTTTGAACTGTTCATCTGATCACCCTAAGGATTTTTTAAAAATATAGTTTAAACACTGTAAAATAAGTCTGCATACTTTAAAATCCTTATAAAAAATATTAAACAATATAGATAAGAAGCTTTTCGTAAAAAAACGTGGGGTCAGAATGACCCCATGTGTTCTCCGAGGGCTAGTGTGGAATCAGTAGTAAATAGTGAAACTATGACGTTACGGTACAGATACTTGACGAATTCTCTACGGGCTACTAAAACATTTTTTTATTCATTTAAAGCACTCCACTTTTTGTCAATTGTTAATTTAATAATTAATAATATTAACAAATAAACAAATTATTTCCAAAATTTAAATTTTTAAAGCATTTACCAAAAATGGTCTCTCTCCAAATTTTTTCTCTTTCAAACTATACTTATTCTTTATATGAATCCAATCACATTTTAATAAATACATTAATTGAGTTGTATTTAGGTAGGTAATGAGATGCAGATGCCGGTTCCTTCATCATTTAATGATATCACAACTTCCAAACATTTAAGAGATCACATTGGTTCTGTTTGGTACAAGAGAAGTTTTTACGTACCAATTTCATGGCATGAACAACGAGTTTTCTTAACATTTGGATCTGTAAATTATCTTGCACAAGTAGTAAGTATTTTCAATACATATTTGGATATATGTTGTGTATAACTGCACTACTCTTAATTCTGTAAATTAAGATGTAGAGAAACATTGAATCTCCACAAACTTTTTAGAAACTTTATACAACTCAGGCGTATTTAATTATGGTCACTTTATCTACCTGTACAAGCGCATACTAAGTTCCCCCTTATAACCCAGCGGTCAATAAAAAAACACTATAGCCCTAGGGCGATAAAGTGTACATTATTGACTGCTCACAGTTCAATTAAGTACTCTTTATCCCCCTAGGGCAATAATGGTTATTTTATTGACCAGCTGGGTTATATGGGAGAACATAGAATGCACCGACACAGGTAGCATAGAGTAGGGGAGACTGGGGTAAGCCCACGCACAGGGTAAACCCGCTCACTAGCGATTTAACGCGATGAACTCAACTTAAGATATGAGGTATCAGAAAAAAAACGTTTTTTGGATTGTTACATCCCTATATATTTTAAAATTTTATAAATTTAGTAATTTAGTTAAATAATCAATTAAATAAATGTCATAAATGTAATATTCAAACAATGTCTAAGGACATAGTTCAAAATATTACATTTCCTTTTACGAATCCTAAATTAAAAGCATAAAATAGAAATCATAATGAAATACTATAATATTTCATTCACATGATTCATTATCACGTATTATTACTCATGTGAATGAAAGAGTAAGGTAGATCAACGAACTATGTCTTTACGACAAGTGTCAAGCCATGAATGAAAGAGATGACGCATGAATGGAAAAATGATAAAAGAATAAATGTAATTTCTATAAAAATTACTTTAAATTAATAAGAATAATTATTTTATCAATCCATACAACATTCAATCATTGATAATCATCGTTTATCATCAGACTATTGATTTGAATTCATCAAATCGATAGTCAAAAATCGATTGATCGAATCGACAATCGATGGTCAATTCGATTATTGAACTGAAAACACTTATTAATGTTTGAATTCAATGAATATTGGAACAAGTAATGATTATATGTTTAATTACACTCGAATCTTGTTATAACGAATCTCGTTACAACGTTCTCTCGTTACAACGAACATTAAAACTCTCGATACAACGACACAAAAAACACGAACGAATTTAAGAATTTAATTTAACCAAAATTTTGGTTAACTCAAAAAAAACGACTAAGTTAATCAACCCTTAACTTTATTTAACCTAAAGAATCTAGTGATGTGATTATTATTAAAAATTCTTACTTTTTCTTTAAACTGATTCCAAAATGCAGAAACTTTTAATATAAATGAACATACTTTACGAAATTTTTTACACGTATTTGACGTTTTGTTCTGTTAATCACAGATAAATTCATGTGTTTGAATATAACGTGAAGTAGGATTCCTCCTTCCGTCGTAATATCGAGATTTTGAAGTCCCGAGATCGTCGTTATAACGAGAATCGAGTGTAATTAATAGAAAGAAGCTAGAGTAGAATAGAAAGAGATCATATTACAATCGTACGTGCCTAAAACAGTACATGTTGTACGTGACCAAAACGGTGCATGTTATACGTGTCTAAATCAGCGTGTGGTCAAAGCACCTAAAACAAAATGCTTTCACCATTTAACATCCCTAAAATGCATTAGATTCGATAGTATATAAGCTGCTGTAAGAATCAGAGCAATTGTCAAAAGTTCCGGTGTAGTTCAGTGCGGACAGTATCATTGTAGAGCGACCCTTCGGTTAAACGCGAATTATTGTATTCTTTCCCATAAAAAGGTGCAAGTTAGATTATTTATCACTTAGAAACAAGTTTCTTTCCCCTAAAAAGGTGCAAGACAAATAATTTAACACTTAGAATTGATAATTCTGTTATTTTAACTGTCGTATTTGCGATTAATAATTAATAGTATAAGTTTAATTAATTCTTTCCATAAAGGTGCAAGTTATATTATTTGTCACTTAGAAACAAGTTTCTTTCCCCTAAAAAGGTGCAAGATAAATAATTTAACACTTAGAAGACGTGAAACTGTTAATTTAGCGCAAAAACTGTTATAAAGTTGTGATTATTACACAAGTGCAATAAAACAAACTTTTAGTTTCATTCAATTGAAACGAATTCAAACCAAGAAAACCAATTATAACAACCCTTCGATAATCTCGTCAACAAATCTGTAATTAAACGTAAGTAACGATTTGTAACAATTGTAACTTTCAGAATATTATAAACAATAAATTAAATAAAAGGAATATTTATCTTGTTAGTAACGCAAAACCCGTAGTTTTGACAAGTGATCACGATCCCATATTAAAAATAAAGATCAGGCTTTACCAACCTGATTAATCAGCTAACTGGTTTTAACTCTTGCTCGGAACGTAACATGGATTTTTAAGTTTTTCGATCATTATTTTTGAGTCTTAATTTATTTGGCAAATTTTTTTGTTGCTATTGGATGTCCTTCTTCTAAGTACATGTATAGTTTTATCTTATTTCAAAAAGATTTAGTTCAATTTATTCTAAAATGTGAGGAATACACTCGGGGTAAAGTCGCTCACGTGAAGTCGGGGTAAACCCGCTTACTTAGTTTTTAATTTAAAATTTAGAGTAAAATAATTTCACGTATTATATTTTAACAATAACACTATTTATGACTTGTTAAAACCAAAATTGTAACTACATTTCATTTTCTCTTAATAAAATAGAACATTATTTAAATCCATATTTGTAATTCATGAAACCTATATTCATTATTTATTAAACCAATTTGTTGTTTATAGAATTGCTTATAGAACTCATAGTTTATCAATAATAAATCACACTTAAGACGTGAATAAGACGATTTTTAATATTTAAAAAATAAAATTGTTTTGTCTTGAAAAGATAAAGTGAGCGGGTTTACCCTGGAAAATTGTAATTTTGAAATTTGGTACATGTGTATTAAAAAGTTTTTCTAAGTAAAACTAAAAAAGATAAATCAAAAACTCTTTTTTATTTTTTTAGTAGAAATCATAAGCTTTCAAACGATATAAATTAACTTGGATTTAGAGAATAATTTCCTAGATTTTTACCGATCTGAAAAAAAGTGAGCGGGTTTACCCCAGTCTCCCCTAACCATAATACGCCTTTGTTGTACATATAAAGTAAAGTTTGCAACATGGGAGGTAACCTCGTTAGTTGCATAATGTACTATTATACCTGCCTACATCAAATTATTATAAACTCTTATCAATTAATAAATGTGTATGTACAGACTTATTATTTGCATCAGGGATTAGTAAATCGAATCGTGCCTTGAATATTGCTTGCGAGATTCTACACAATATTCCCGCGTTCCATTGCACGACCCTTCTCACAAATTTTATTTGTGTCATTCCTTGGCGCGGCACGAATTATCAAGCGTTCTTTGTGTCGTGCCTACTATCCGTTCATTTAATCCTGGCCCCTCTAGTTTTCGGTGAATAACTTCGCGAAAAAAAGTCGCTAATAAAAACGAAAAAAAGCATAAGAAAGACAATTTTATTCCGAACAAGTTGATATAAATTTCATTATTGCAAGTCAAATAGTGTTGATAACACGATAAGAAAATGGTAAAAAAACACGGAAAAAACGACCAATTTATCATTGCTGACTTTGAGCCCGTACAATTTAAAGAAAAATGGTTAGAAACTGAAACAAAAAATCAGGTGTTTCACCATTAATTCTTCCTAAATGATATTATTAAAACGAAAGTTTAAAATGTTAATTAGTTTAATGCATAAAGTGAAAAAATTAAAAAAATGCTATCTAAACTTCCAACAGTCGCATAAATTCGAATTTTAGCTTAAAGTGCGTAAAAAATTCACACATATTATATTTAAATTTTCAAAGTTTTAAACAAATTACGAAAAAATTTTAATGAAAAAATTTTTTTAACCATTTTTTTTCGAATCAGAAGGCCTCGAGTGAAAATGAGTCTCCCATTGTTGACGGTCGTTTTTTCCGTGTTTTTTTACTATTTTCTTATCGTGTTATCAACACTATTTGACTTGCAATAATGAAATTTATATCAACTTGTTCGGAATAAAATTGTCTTTCTTATGCTTTTTTTCATTTTTATTAGCGATTTTTTTTCAACACGAATATTCGTGTCCGTGTCAGTCTTTGCTTTGCAGTATGGTTATACTTCAGGGTTGGTTACGTTAATGTAGTTTTTAAAATAGATTAATCTATTTCTGTACTTGGATTAATTTAACAAATGGTAATATTTAAAAAAAAATTTAATTAGATTAAATAATTTTTAATTCCTCAGTAGAAATGGTTTACATAAATAATAAATAAAGAAAAAATAATAGTATCTAATTTAAGAAAAATATTACAGAAAGTAAGAATTATTTTCATTAAACTAACTGAATATAATGATTGAATTTTAGTTATATTTTTATAGAAATAGTAGTAATTATAACATTTATAATATTTCTAACTATTTAATATATATTTTTACTTCCTCATAGAGGAAGTATTGTAATAACAAAATTTTTCGAGTTCGATTTTTTGACATATCTTTATGTTATTTGACCTCAGGAGTTCAAAAATGACATTTTTAAAAAATGGCATTCCGTATGTGTGTGTGTGTGTAAACATAACATTTTCATAAATATCTCGAAATCATGAAGAGCTTTTGGGTTCAATTTTTTTTAAATTGTAGATCTCACCTGTGGACATAAAGTGAGAGTACTTTCTGATATATTAATAAAGTTTAACTAAATTTCTTTTGATTTTTAATTTTGCAAAAAAACGTTTTTTGCCCATAACTTTAAAAAAATGGTAGGACACCTATAAATGTTTTTCCATAATTTTGTAGAGTTTTTTAGACGCATCTTTTAAGTCCTAATTGAAAATTTTTCGTCCATATTAACCGGAGTTATTAAACTTTTAAAAATAAAAAATTTTGGAAAATAAGACTTTTTTGAAAATTTTGTTGAAAAACGTAAAAGTCACTTTAAAATTATTGTTATCAACTCGCAG